TGTTTATGTAACCCCTGAGCTGAGTAAACGCACACATGCATGCATGCGCGCACACAGGCCCATACTCACAGAGCTCGGCATCAAACAGCTGAGTTAAGCTTAGCTGGGCTGTGTGCTGGGGGCCATAGAGGGGCTTCGGTCTGGCTCTGTTCTCAGCAGCATCCTGGCTGTCTTTACGGTATCATTCTTCAGGCCCAAACAACAGCAGTGCAATGTTTGACTGCTAACTGGACAAAAAAAAATAGCTGGAAAAAAAAAACTTAATATAAAACAACTTATTAAAATCTCTCTGATGGGATTTTATTAAGGGCAGCAAACGACTGTCTGCAGGACATTGTATGTCATACACAAAGATTTCTGTCTTGACCCTGTGAATGTTGCAACTAATGAAATATTGACATGTGAAAGAAGTTTGAGACTGTCCTGCTTAAAAACCATTAAGTTAGACACAAAATCGAAGTTTTTTAAAATCGTGACTGTCGGCCTTGGTTGGGTGATACTTTTAGACCTTACTGAATAAAGGTCGCTGACAGGTTCTGATGTTAGTCCTGGAAAAGTATCAAGTGGCTAATGAGCAGCTATTAGACCTATTGATTAGCTGATTTAAATTGATAGCTACTAGGCCAGAGCTCCATGTCATTATTTGCATAACTAATACCCTAAAGCTTTGGTCCCTGAAAAATGAAACCTTAAATGAGTAAAAGAATCGTAAAACAAATAAAGAGAAAAATTAGACAAACAATCCCTCACTCTTTTTAGTCCTCACTACGCCATGGGAAGTGGGATATAGTGAGATGTAGTAAATCTGAGACCACAAAGAGTTTGAATCCACTATAAAGCGATGAACATTTTGTAATGAAAAGTGGTGGTATAACTTGATGCACTCCACCTTATGAGATGTTTGCAAAAAAAAGAGGTCTAACTGTCACTTAAAAGTATGTTATTTTTGGGGAAAAAGCGGGCCGAAAAAAGGGCATCCACTTAAAAAGACCTTTAAAATGAAGTCAGAGCTTCCAATATACAACCCGAGCCCTAAATCTTCCTAGAATTATTTCAGCCCTGCTCAAATGTGAGATGTTACAGGCTGCATGGACTCAGCAGTTATTGAAAACAATAACTAGGTTGGACTGAGGGGTTTTCTATTTTCTCAACAATACATTTTCTATTATATCCTGTATACTGCTTTCCGGATACCTGCGTGTGCCCTGAATGCAACACCCATTATGGCAGTTTCAGTGATGACAAGGTGTGACGCTGATGCCTTTCTGATGCATGTGGCAGCCGGGGTCAGCGGGTCACGCAAAATGAAGAAAAAACTCTCACAGGCTAAGCCAGATGTCCTGAGTCTGTCCCCAAGGAGGGAGCACATATGTATATATATGTGTTTGTAAGAGGGAATGTTAGCGGGGATATGTCCAGTGACAGAGCAGGTGGCTAAGCCGGTCTAATGTGAGCTCCCGCGAGACCGTACACGCGTAATATATACAGCGACTCGCATATTACACCTACCCCCCCTCCCCTAAAAGAAGCGGCAGGTTTCCACAGCGCGCATTACAGCAACAATGCCCCACGCAGGACAATACACGGGCCAAGTGATCCCATGTGGTGCTCTTCTTATCAGTGTCAACTGGTCTCTGTAGAGTTCTGTCAGCTCCTGTCACAGTCATCAAGGGCCTGTCATGTATCGCTAACACTGAAGTTCCCTTAATGCTGATGATCAGCCCCGTCTTAAATGACCAAATATGACCACTTTCTTGCGCCTTATTGCCTAAAATCTTACCTTGAGCACTTTTTTTTTTAACCTGAGCTGATATGCTCATATGATCTTATGTGATATCTGTTTGGCATCAGGAAATGAGGAGCAGCTGGTGACTGAGTGTCTCAACACACGCGCTTCTGTAGTGTCTCCTCCTGATAGTGATCTCCCTCTCTGTAGTCAATAAAGGTCTGAATGATGAATTAAAGACCCAAACAACCTACTAATGACAGGATGACATGGCAGCCACGCGCCGGGTTCCGCTATCTCCATCCACATCTTTGCTCATCCCACCCATGTTCACCGATTGCTGTCATTCAATTCCATTTTGCTCATCTATCCTCTCAGCTTCGTCTCCTCAACTGACCCCAAACAATACCACTGTTGCGGTGATTAAATTCATGTGTTTATGTTCTTTTTATCTCCAAACTTTGGGGGAGGAAACAGGAGATTGGTCCGTCCTTCTATCAAATGAAGTCTAAATTTACCATTAATGAAGTTAACAAAAATGCTTTTTCATTATTCCCATTCAAGTTATGAACATAAATAATTCATTCATTTCCATTCAGCCATTTGTATGTAACTCCTGCCTATTCCTGGCTGTCCCTGCTGACCTGCCTGCTCATGGGATATCTGCAAACACAGAGAACTAACTAAATCCAGCTGGGTGTGCTTTTGTTGCTGTTTGTGAGTGTGTGGGAGAGAAAAAGAGGGAGGAATGAGTGTTCGTCGATGTCCTGAGTCTGGCCAGCATCACAGGATCTCATTAAATAGTGACGCTTTCACAGGCTGAGTGGTGAGATATTCAAGATCACAGCCACTTGCTGTGCTGACCGTCTTCAAATGGGTATTGGGGACATTCCTACATTATTGTACTGTATATTGTTTCCCATACGCTCGGTGTTCACCGTTGTTCTCGCTTTATAATCCCGTTGCAAGATCGGGAGCAGCCTAATAGGTTTCAAGAAGCAGGGATAAACTCGGCAAATATCTTTATTTTCACGGCTTAAGAACGGGGCATGCTTGCAACACGCACAGAGCTTTTTATTAAGCCCAGTCCCATTTTAGTGCGATCAGCCTGCCCTGCCCTTTAGTGGAAATAACAAGCATTTGACTGCATTGACTTGATTTTATACCTTGGCTGGGTGGACATGTGTGTTGAATGTGTGCGGTGCGGCAAAAAGTGCAGTGGTGTCCATTTTTCGATTGCAGGCTGGTCAGCAGCTCTTTTATGAACAGCTCTATAATTAGAGAAACACCAAGTAACTAATTACTTAATTGGAGCAAGGTCTTTAAAATGAAAATGATGTAATCAGAATCCTGGAAATGCAATCGACTGAAACAAACACTAATACGTGAACATGAACTCACACACTGGCAAACACACACACACCTCCTGACCTACAGTCCTCCTGACATGTAGCCATCAAGCACCCAACTCCTTCTCCTTAGTTGAGCTGTAATTGATTCTCCCTTTACCTCTGCCGGCTCCTGACAGTGTGTGTGTGCGTATGTGTGTTGGTGATATAGGAAAAGAGCCCCGTTTGTGTGGTCTGCTTCAAACTATATAAGTAAAGGTCATGGCCGTGAGTGTGTGCATGCGCGTGTGTCTGTGTAGTAATTAATTAGGAAAATGTTCCTCCACCTCCTCTTTTTCTGACCTCAGTTGTAGACCAATAACCTTGGAACTCTGTGAATTACTCTAATTTATTCTTCTTTATTGGAGGGACTCGAGCAAAACAACTAAATACAAGTGACACAGTCATTTGGATGTAAATCCAGGACCACTTGCTACAAATTATTTTCTGTCGTCATCCAGATTAAAGGAAGGAAATGCAGTGTTTAGAATTTCCAGTCAGTCCGGTTATGTTTGATTTCTGTCTGCTGGATTAGAGTGTCAGTGAGGGGTTTATCAGTGCTGCTCCTTGACTCTCTCTCTGATAATATGCCAGTATTCATGAGGTAATGTTGCTTGTAGAGTCATTCTCTCCTCAATCTTTCAGCCTTACCGTATATTGCTCATCTAAGGGCACTGTGACAGTTATGAAAGAGCTTAATCTGCCTATGTACAAAAAAAAAAAACTGTTAAAGGTAACTCGTAATTCAGATGTTAAGGCTAATTCTAATTTGACATCCTTTAGTTGAGTATATAGGAAACACTAAAGTAACTCTTTGAACACAAATACATTTAAATCAAACTTTATTTGTTACATTTTTTAACCAACACCAGAAAAGCTTGTGGCTATTCCCATGCAAATATGTAATTAAATATCTAAGCTTAATCAACCCACAAATCCAGAGCCTCAGTGTGAAGTCTTCAACACTTTTATTAAGAAAATAAACACTTCAGAGCAAGGCTATTATTTTTCTTGTACTTGAGGGGAAGTTAGTGTCTTATTAGAGGCAAAGAGGTTTAATTTTCCTC